GGCAGAAGCAGGCAGATCTCTGTGAGTTCAAGGCCAGCTGGGACTACAGTGAGACCCTGGCTCAAAAAGAGAAAAAAAAAGATGAAGAGAAAAAAATTAGGGAACTGGAGAGATGGTTCAGTGGTTAAGAGTAGTGGCTGCAGAGGACCTGGGTTCAGTTCCCAATACCCACATGGTGGCTAACAACCATCCATAACTTCAGTTCCAGGGAACCCAACACCCTCTTCTGACCTCTGCAGGCATTGTATGACATAGGTACACTTACATACATGGAGGCAATACATTCATACACATAACACAAAATAGATAAATGTGCCAGGCATGGTGGCGCACACCTGTGGCCCCAGCACTTGGAAGGCAGAGGCAGACGGATCTCTGTGAGTTCAAGGCCAGCATGGTCTACATAGCGAGTTCCAGGACAGCTGGGGCTACAGGGAAACCCTGTCTCAAAAAAAGAAGGCCCCCCCTAAAAAAATTTAAATTAACAAATAGGGCCAGTTGTGGTGGTACAGGCCTTTAATCCTAGCACTCAGGAAGCAGAGGCAGGAGGATCTCTACGGCCAGAATGGACTACATAGCGAGTTCCAGCCAATTGGTACTACCCTGTCTCAAAACAAAACAGCCCCCCAAAAGCCTGGTTGCAGCAGCATGTGCCTATAGAGAGGCAGAAGCAGGGGGCTCCCTGGAGTTCCCTGACCAGCCAGTTTAGCAGAACTGATAAGCTCGAGGTTTCAGTAAGAGACTATGTGAAAACATAAGGTGGGGATTGGCAAGATACCTGATGTCAACCTTTGGCCTCCACACATATGCAGGCACACAAACACAAACACACGCATGCACGCACGCACCCCACAATGAATATACAGTTACTGAACTATACACTTAAAAATTGTTAAGATGGGGGCTGGGTGTGGTGGCGCAAGCCTTTAATCCCAGCACTTGGGAGGCAGAGGCAGAGAGATCTTTGTTGAGTTCGAGGCCAGCCTGGTCTACATAGTGAGTTCCAGAACAGCTGGAGCTACAGGGAGATCCTGTCTCAAAAAGACAAAAAAAAAATTAAGATGGGCTGGTGATGTAGCCCAGTTAGCAGCGTGCCTATCTAGTAATGCACAGGACCCTGGGTTCCAGCCCCAGCATCACCACATACCACTGGGTATATTGGTGCACACTTGTAATCCTAGTACTTGGAATGTAGAAGCAGACAGATCAGGAGTTCAAGGTCACCCTTAGCTACATAGTGAATTTAAATCCAGCCTGGGCTATGTATGTCTGTCCCAAAAAATCGAAATAGCTAGGCTTGGTGGTACACACCTTTTATCCCTCTGCATGGGAGGCCAAGGCCGCTGGATCTCTGTGAATTGGAAGTCAACCTGGTTACATAGTGATTTCCAGGCCAGTCAGAGCTATACTATCTCAAAAAGTAAAAACAAAAAATAAATGCTAATATTATATATATATACACATATATATACACACACACACACATATGTGTGTGTGTGTATATGTTAGGCTAAACAAAATATATTATTAAATTAATCCTACCTGCTCACTTTTGTTTTTTTTGAGGCAGGATCTCTCACTATGTAGCCCCAGCTGGCCTGGAGCTGGCTATGTAGCCTAGGCTGACCTTGAGCTCACATGGATCCTCCTGCCTCTGCCTCCCGAGTGCTAGGATTTAAGAAGTGTGCTACCACGCTGGATCGCTTCCTTTTGCTTTTATTTCAGGGCCATTAGGAGGCTTTAATTACCCATGAAGCTTGAGTTTGGTTTCTATACATGAGGTCAGGGGTGGCTATTTTGCTTACTGTTATAATTCTGATGCCTGGTCTGGGGCCTAGGTGAACAACATTTTTGTTTTGTTTCTATTTTATTTTTATGTGTATGAGTGTGTTGCCTCCATGTATGTGAGTGCACCTGTGTCATATAATGCTGTCGGAGGTCAGAAGAGGGCTTCGGATTCCCCTGGAACTGGAGTTAAGGACGGTTCATAGCCATCATGCAGGTGCTGGCAATTGAACCCAGGTCCTCTGCAAGAGCAGTCACTGCTCTTAACCGCCAAGCCATCTCTCCAGCCCCCATTTTGGTTTTTTTGAGACAGGGTTTACTATGTAGCCTTGGCTGGCCTTGAACTCATGGCAATTCTCCCGACTCAACCTCTTAAGTGAGTGCTGGGATCACAGGTGTGTGCACTCCAGGGCACTACTCTGACCCCAGATAGGGTGGACTCTCCTGCTCCTGAATCCTCAGCAGGGCCACCACACTGCGGGGTCAGCCTGGTCTTCCTGAAGTGTGGCCTCAGCTTGTCCAGAAGCCAAGGGATCATTGTTTTGGGGCAGCTGGTATGGTTCTGTTTGGTGTGAATCTGTGACCCTGCTGGGTCTCAAGACCTCACTTCCTCTTGCTGTTTGAAGTCAAAGCTACTTCAGTGACAGCAACTACCTTTATTGGAGGACCTACTATGTGCTGCCCTGTCCACTGTCCTGCACCTACAGTGGCATACTTTGCCCTCTCAGCAATCTAAGAGGTAGACACTATCGCTAACTTCAGAAACAGGTGAGAAAAATGTAGCTCAGAAAGATAAAGTAACTTGCCTAAGATCATGGAGCTAATAAAGTGGCTGAGTAAGTTTGGAACGGTCCAGAGTCTGCTGGATTCCAAAGCTGTGACAGCCACTATCAATCGGCCATGTAAGTGCCCTGAAGATAAAAGATCTGTCCCCCGTACTTCCAGAAGGATTTGTACAGGGTTGTGACGCTGGGAAGAGTAACTCACTGCAGGATGACCACACTTCTCAGTGAGGTCAGCCTCAGTTCTTGTGACCTCACCTTGAACCTTTACTTAAAACTATGGGGTCAAGGTGTTCATTCCCATTTGTGCTTGTTGATTTCCTTGTTCTAGAAGTGCTGTATCTCCAGACTGCCACCATACTAGGGAAAATACTGGGTAAGGTGCCCCAGGGAGGCCCGTCCCCACTAGCCCTTCCCATCCCCAGCAACAGGACTAAAGGCTATGGAGAACAGCAGAAGCTGTCCATCCCAGGATGGCACTTAGGGCAGGTCTTCCTGGTTTCCCACTGATGATATACCTTGCATCTTGGTGAAACTAGGGCAAGCGACTGCCCTGAAAAGCCAGCGGTATCAGGGGAGGACAAGGGGCAGGTTACAGTCTTGGGACAATGTGCTTATTGAATACTGGTTCACAACTGCTTGCCAGAGACCTCTGCAATGTCTAGACACATTTATGGAGTACGTGCAAACTGTTATCTGGAGGGTAGAGGCCAGGGATGCTGGTGGACAAAGCATAGAACGACCTCCCAACCCATCGGCCAGCCATGGCATCGGCAGTACAAGCTGAGAAACCCTGTTGTGCAGCTAACTCTGGTCACCCTCCTCCTTCAGCTTGGCTGGCTCCTGCTTGGAGAGCCACCTGGCTTCAATGGGATGTGTATATGATGGGGGGGGGAACGACAGTGGGGAGTGGGTCAGCTGTATCCTAAGGTTCTTTCACAAATCAGGTTGTGTTACTATTTTGATCAACCTTTCCAATGACTTCTAATGGTTCCTGTTACAAAATATACAGATTCTTTCCCAAGGCCCTGGCTGATCACAGCCTACTCCTTCCCTTCCCCCCATCCACTCCTGAGGTTTGCTTTGCCTTTGTTTATTCTTCTGCTGGGGATGGAACCCATTCGTGAGCAAATGTCAACTAAAGAGCTGCAGCCCCAGTTCCTCCCATTTTTTTTTTTTTTTTTTTTTTGAGACAGGGTCTCCCTGTAGCCCCAGCTGGGCTAGAACTTGTTATATAAGCCAGGCTGGCCTTGAACTCACAAAGATCCCCCTGCTTCTGCCTCCCAGTGCTGGGATTAAAGACATGAGCCATCATGCCAGGCTCCATTTTCTTTTTTAAATAGAGTTCTTAAACTTGTTCTGCCTGCTTAGAGAGCTCCTCCCCAAGCTCTCCAGGGGCAGCTCTCCTCATCTAACAAGTCCCCACAGAGGGGCCTCTCCTGACCACTCAATCAGAAGTGGCCATGCCCTCCCTGACTCCAGAGTTGCACTCTGCCCTATTATCTTGTTTTCTTCACAGCACCAATCTGCTAGGCCATGGCTGAGAAGAGGGTCTGGTACATTCTAAGAACTCAAGAAATACTTTAACTGGGGGGGGGAAAAAAAAGGGAGGGGGGCACGGAAGGGCAAAGTCTTGTATATCTCAGGCTGGCCTCAAACTCCCTATGTAGTCATGGTGATCCTCCTGCCTCCACTCGTATGTGCCAGGATGGCAAGCATGCATCAGGACACTATGTTTGTGCAGTACTGGGTGCTGAGCCCAGGCCTTTGAGCAAGCATCTACCAAGAGAGCCACATCCCAGGCCCCAGGATTTTTTTTTAACCATTTTATTATATGCCCCTCTAGACTAGAGCCCATGTCCCACAAGGACAGAGACCTTGCCTGTTACACCCCAGTGCATGGAACAAGAAGCAGGCAGCACAAAGCAGATACTGAATAGGGAGCTCTTCAGTAGTTGGGAAGCCCCTTGAAACTCCCACCATCCTCACTGCCTGGGCCACAGAGTGCCATACTGAGTACACTCTAGATCAGAAGGGGAACACAGTGCAGGGGTTCCGAGTGTGATCTGGGGTTCAGTGCTGCTTCTGGGGATACTGGCTGTGTAGTTAGCTGTTTGATTGAGCTGTGCCTGTGTCCTCATCTGTTGTAAGAGGATGTCAATAGAACATACTTGATAGGTACTGGGAAGGTCCAGTGAGAGCATGTATGAGCCTGGTGGTTGGCATGCAGCTGGAGGTCAATAACCTCCAGCCAGTACTATTATGTGGAACGATGTTCCCAGCCCATTGCCCATCCCAAAGAAGATGTCAAAGGCTGAGAAGCAGTCCTGCCATGGTGGCAGCCTAGGCATCCTCCTGCCCTAGGCCACCACTCCCCTGCCACTCCCCTGCCCTTCTTGGTGACTACCAGAAGCACAATAGCTGAAAACTCACATTTACATCCAGGAAACGGAGATACTCACGGCCCAGGGAGCCTTCAGGCAGGCTCTGGAGCTTGCTTAGGTCGAGGGTGGACCGTGAGATCCGGGGACGCTCCCTGAAAGGTAGAATGCAGGAGGTAGGCACTGGGAGGGTGTTGGCCAAGGTAAGTACAAGGTCCACCCGGAGGAAGCTTAGTATGGGAAGAATGTGGCCACAAGCCTTGATGGAGTCCTAGCTGCTACCTCCAGGAGGCAGAGAGGCAGGCCACAGATGTGACGAGGGCACTCACAAAAGACCCTACAGGGATGGCGTAGAGCTAGCATATCAGGAGGAAGACAACTAGCAAGCTACAGGAACTTAATGCAGGCAGAATCCTGTGGTTGGCACTGTGCTAAGCCAACACATTGCACAACACAGGATATCATCGTTCACACACATACATGTGCTTCTGGAGCTGAGCAGTGCCCAGTCAGTGCCCATCCATGGTCCTCTGAAAAGGTCCTTAGAGGAAGAAAACCGATAGGGTGTGACTATATAGAGATCATGACCCCAAAAGAATGCCCCCAAATCTCCAGGCAGAGTTGGGACCTACTGTAGGATCTGGGCCCCTTCTGGATCCCTCTTCATCTGGTCCCTCAGGGCCTTCAGGGTGTGGCATCCTGTGGTCTCTCCTAGAACTGCAACCATGTCTGAAAAAAACAGAAATGGGCATATATGGGGGATGGGATCTCAGGCTTCTATGCCTGGCCAGGTCTGAGTCTTCATTTCCTACATGACAAAACAGGTACAGTATCTACCTTAGTTGTAAGGAGTCATGTTAGATGCTCAGCTGGCACACAATAAGGGCTCAAAGTACTAAATTACTACTTTTTCCTTTTAAAAAATTATATATATTTATTTTGTGTACATATGCTATGGTACATGTGCGGAGATCAGAAAATAACAGGCAGGCAGGAGTCAGTTCTTTCCTTCTGCCTAGGGAATGAACTCAGGTCTTCAACTTTGGCAACAAACACTTTTATCTGCTGAGCTATCTTTTTTTTTGCTGTTGTTT